AAGGGTTATAGATATCAAACCGTTAAGCGTGTAGAACGAAGCATGGGTCGAGGGATACATCGAGGATGATTGCTATGCAAAAATGGAAGATTGATATTAGGGATTGGGATGAAGAATAGTAAACACAGTGAGATTCATATAGAAGATATAGTATATAGAGAGTTTGAGGTGCAGTTAATTCTATAGCGAGGGAGAATGATGAAAAATCTGTTGCATAGATAGAGAATTAGGCACATGATCGAGATCAGATAGAAGAAGAGAGAATATGTTTGGCAGAGAGTGATTTCGAGAAAGCCTCAAGGATGACAAGATGCATGCAGAGAAAAGACTTTCCTTGCAGAGTGATTCGGAGCGTAGACGTTTCGTAGAGAGAGAGAGATGCAAAGAAGAAGTTTTTAAACAGATGCATTCGTTAGATTCATTTTATAGATAGCAATGATCGAATATAGAAGCGATGGGATGCATGAATCTTTATTGCATCCCGCATAAAATGATTTCGAACAAGTCTTATGTCTGTGATTGCTGTGGTGATCGCGTAACTGAAAACAGCCGACTTCCTCTAATTGCAAAATGCCTTCGACTTTTCTGTACGACCACTTTGTTTCGAATGTCTCTCCGCCGATGAATGCCGAAATTTGTAGAATGAAGCGCCAGTACGGCCTTTATATGTTCGACCATTACTCTAGAGAGAAGTATAAAAATCATACCTGCTAAACATACCCTTGATCGCACTATACTGGCCGTCGATTACTTGCAAAATGCCCAACAATATATTTCTTAACATTTTCTAGCCGTCCAATTGTTGTTAAATGTTTTATTGTTATTTTTTTTTCAGCTCATGAAACGCTCTATCTGCGCACGAAAATGGTGAGGATATCAGAAACCACAGTCAGGATCGCAAGTACCATATTGTGAAGTACATTGGTTCTTCTGTAGGACCTGGACAGTTTGGTCCTTGGAGATATTCGAGCGCAGCATATTCTCCGTCACATTTGGTGGGCATTCTGTCGTTCTTGAAAAGCTCTATCTTCTCTGAAAATATGAGACAGATTTTTATAAACTAACATGGTTAACCTTTGAGACGGATGCCGATATTGATCGTGCTTCTATTCTAGGTAGAAATGTCGAGAAGAGGTCTCGAAATTTGGCCTGAAAGAGGTCCAAATGCTTTATTCTTACTTTGAGGAAAATGAAATTGAATTTTAGAAAGTGTTCTGAGATGATTTTTATATAGGGATGCTTTACGTGTAAACCCACCCCTCCTTTAAGAATATTCAATGGAAAAACACGTTCAGAAGAAAAAATTAACTTCTTCGTAATGAATTTAAATCAGGGTAGCGTTATTCCACGCTCTTTAGTCGCTCAGCTATACCCAAATTATTCTCATCTATTCTGTTTCGTACGTTCTTCTTGGTTTCTTATTCAATTTTAATTCCATTGAGTCAATATTGAAATACAACATCATTACCTATCATCATAAGATAGGATTTTCTTCTAACACATACACATATATTTCATTGAATTGAATTTTTCAATATATCAGTGTGCATTCATGCAAAGGAAAAATTTATGTCATAATTACCGATAGGAATTAGATTTTTAGTGTTTCATGTTCATTCTGTTTTTTTTTAAAGTTCAAATCAAGGAAAACAAATTCATATGTTGGTTCAATGGTTGTAGTACCGGAGAGACCAAATCATTTTCAATATACCTCAGACTATTTTTTATGAACTATTAAATTTTCTTTATGCCGACGATTAATCATTAGAAATTACAACTTATCTTTATAAGTTGTAGTTTTCTGTTTTCTACATCTGGTTTACCTATGTACATGACATACTGTACAAAAACCTTGTTTCTGTGTATCAAAATCAGATTTGTCAACATAAAAAAGAAAATCATAACTATTGCCACTTCCACCTCCAGCTAAAAGAAACATTTTATATCCCCCAACGATGAGGCTTGTTAGGCATATGTTTTTTCATTGTAATTTTGCCTTTGAATAGAATAATTTGTTCATCAATACTTAGTTTGTCTTCTTTTTCAATTTTTCTGAAATTATTTTCAACAATATTCAACAATGGTCGAACTTTATGAGCTCGATCATAATTCGGATAATTACGATCGAGTTGATTTGAATCAGTATATTCCACTCATTATCAAAACACCATAAATTGTGCCCTTTCAACTTCTGAAATACCTGCTGATTTATTGGATTAATTTGAACTGAATACAAGTTAGATTGTTCGGTCAAAAGTGTGATTGACTCTTTGCCGAACATAGAATAAAAATAGTCAGTTGGTTCAAATTCCATATGAACTTTACTTATTTCATCTTCTGAGTCAGATGAATCAACTTCTTCTTCGCTAAAATCATTCGGTGCAGCAGTAGCATTTTTAAAAAATGATTTAGCATCCATCATCAAAACTTTTTTGATCAAAAGCAGTACTTTATTTTACACCTAGAGTTTTTCTGTTCAAAATATTACTATCTCTAATTAGAATAACAAATAAAATTCAAAATTTAGAATTCTAATTAATGTTAAAATTTGATAAATGATCACTGTATGCATAACTTACAGTCTATTTATAGCTTGACATAACAATGAGAGGAATAGAGAAGAACGTTAAACAATAAAATACGTCCTTTTCACCAATGATAATATTACGTGATATTTTGACTTTAGTATCAAATACAGACGACAATAGTACATTTCTTTCATTGGTCACACTCGCTCTCGAAGCTATTGAAGCATGTTAAGAGACAATATGTTCATATTATTCAGACGAAATGCTGCCGACTAGTAAGGGACTCCATTGCTAAGACACTAAATACTGAATTGTTTTTCTCTTCTCATGAAGAAATGAAAAGCTCTCGACAAAAAAAATAGAACTTTTTTCAATAGTAGTACTTTTCATCATATTTTACGCTTTGATTACAACATGCACGTATACAACTCATGATAAAAATATTGAAAATGTCTTCCACTAGGTGAAAAAATAGCTATTGTTTTTCAAAGATACATATATTAAAGTAAAAACGGTGTACAGTACTTTCCCAGGTGAATAAACTCTACAACAGAACCTATCGGATCTGATTGGATCCGATTATCCGATAAAATCTGATAGGGTTCCGAGAAACGAATCCATTAACGGATTCGACGGAAAAAACTATTTAATTAATTAAGCACCAATAACTAATTAGTAGCGATATTAGAGATCAGTCAAAGCGGGACGTTGAATTCCGTTGAATTCCGATAGTAGGATCCTATCGGATTCCAACACTACGGCTTCGTTGGTCGATTAGTTTCCTGGATTCCGTCGGATTGACGAAAATTCATATAAAATCCGATTAGATTCCTGTCGGATTGAATGTCCTGGGTTGATTTGATCATTACAACCGAAAAAACAATGTTTGGAAATTTTTGTCCCTTTGCGGCCGGCTGTTGCCAAATGGCAACACCATTATATTTTATTATTAGAGTACACCGAATAAGAAATTTTAGTAACATAATATGCAACAACTTTACTAACGAAAATGAATCAGTAATCGTTTTTTCATATTGATTATTAAAACATATAGAAAAATTATTTTTAAGATTCCGATGCCTTTTTGGGGCATTTCGAATAAGTTAGGTTGCTTTTTTAGTGAAAGTTTTTTTTTGTCTTTTAAATTGTTAATTTGTGTTAAAATGTGTCGTAGTAATTATCATATCGTGAAAACATAATACACTCTTTGTATAAGCCAACCCATCTCAAAATATTAACTGAATGTTGCCAAATGGCAACACCCGGCGGTAAAGGGTTAATTATCAACACCAACGATAATATCTCCAACGGCTGTTCATCTAGTTGTTGCACGACAATTTACTTTTTGATTATTCCCACAATCAACAATCGCTACATAAAATAAAATAATTAAGAATGATAAGGTACGATTCTTTTCTTTTTATTTCAATAGCATACGTTCAACTGGTTTCCAATCATATATTTGTGCATTAACATTCCAAATTAGTCCTCCTGGACATTGAATTAGATGAGGTATACCCGATAAACACTGATAGAATGAATGTATGTCCGAAGGATTAGCAAATAAACCATCATTTGTACATACGAAACCATTGACAATTGAATTCAAGGTGAAATATACGATTATAGTGAAAAAAAAAATTTTCATTTATTGATTAACGAAAATAAAATAAAAGCGAAGAGAATCGATTCAGACTTAAATTTAAACTTTTTGTATTGCTTTGTCATTATGTGCCTTAGTAGACACAAAAAAAAACGACGTCGATAACATACAATCGTCTTTTTTTGCTTCGTTATTCATGACTGTGAGAAATATTGACCTTGATATATAAGATAATGCAAATAATCTATTTTTCTGTGTAGTCGAACAAACCTTATCGTGATGATATCGCGTTCACAATAACAAAGTGTTATTTTTCGTATGTTCGACTTTTTTGAAAAATAAACTTCGAAACTAGGTCACTTTGGGAGTATTTAGCTACGAATGTAAGGAATATCATCAATAGATTTTCAAACATATGATTAAAGATTGCACAAAAAAAAGAAATTGAACTATATAAGCTTGATCTTTTTATATTTGTCAATGATACATGAACAAACTGTATTATGCCAATATTAAAAAGTATGTTTCGTTTAATATCAAAGCATTGGTTATAGAAAATCTTCAATTTTTTGAACATGATAATTTAGCGAAAGATAAAATACTTCTATCGATCAATTTTTGTTCGAATGAAGAACAACGTTTTAAACAAATGAATATTTTTATTTTTAATAATTGAACATAAGAAACTGAATTATTGTGTGTAAAGAATAATTTTCAGAAGAAGATATGTAATATAAACAATAACGAAATTTCTTATTTCTGTATTATAATAATTGCAGAATTTATTTACTTATTTATCTACAACACACACATATATATATATATATATATATATTATTTTATATTTCTTATTATTTAACCTTCAATAATTATTGTATTGCCTCAATAGATTCTTTAATTTCATCCAATTCATCAATCCATTCATTTTTTTGACAAATTTCGAGCGCACGAAAGTAAAAACTAATAGCTGAATCAAAATCGTTTTCATATTCATGAATATTAGCCAATGCTTTACAAATATCCAAGATATTCGAATCACCAAGCATTTCATTTCTGGAATCAATATCTAATGCCATTTGTAGATGATATTTAGCTGATAATCTATCATTTTGATTATTCCAATCTTGCCGTGATAAATATGAATATCCCAAATGTAAATGAGTTAGTATAGAATGTGGTGTAGACAATAAATTAAATGTAATTCCTTTAAGATAAAAATCAATAGCTGAATTATAATCTTTTAATTGATAGTATGATTCTGCAATAGAATAATATAATTCAGTGATATCTCTATGTTCCGATGAAAGAACATTTTGTGTTAAAGCTAAACTTCTTTTATAATAATCAAGCGATGTTTGAAAATTTTTTTTGTCAAAATTTTTTGAACCTAAAGCTTTGAAATAATCAATATCAATGCATTCATGGGAAAATAATTTTATCATATGATAATAGAGTTGATCCAAATCAGGAATCTCACGTACTAGAGTACTTGTGGCCATGTCTTTGAACAATTTTCGAACAGTTTCACAATCACCATTAAACATATCCATCTTATAGAAACCTTTTTGTATTTCTTGATCATTACATAATCTTAATTTTATGATATATAATTCAATTGTTTGATCTAGTTCAATTGAATTAACAGCGAAAGCAGTACCCGGCATAAATAAAACCTCATATTCTTCTACAAAATTACTTTCACTACTTATTTTAGCAAATGGGTGACATTTTATATTTGATTTACATTCAATTTCAAATAGAACTCCATGATAATCATCTTTAGGTTTAAATCCAGTAATATAAAATAAAGCAACATCTCTATCCAATGAAGTTGATATTAAAGAATTTATTGATATTCTAAGATCTAAATTATATGTTTCTTTTATTCGTTCAATTTCTAGCTTTTTCATCATTTGCCCACGATAAACATTCAATGATGAATCTCTTTCATTAAATAGCTGATGAAGTTTTGCAATATGTTCATATAAATCACGAATGAAAAAATGATATGCACAAATAATTTGAATGTTTCGTTCTCGTAATGCTTGATTAAGTATACGATAAATAAATGTATCTTTTGTATACCAAAACACAGCCTTTGATGATTCATATGTTTGAATAAATTCTTCTAATTGTTGTTCTGAATTTGTGTTTCCTTTGAAATAGAAACTAAAAAAATTGAAAAAATAGTCTTTACTATCAGAAGGTGCTTTTTGATGAATTAAAACATATAGAAATTTAATAAACCATAGACCATTACGTAATGTATTCATAGTAAATGGTTGATTGTTTGTATTAAATAATTCTGGTATCATTCGTTCATATTTGATAAAATTATTTACACTATTTTTTAAATCTATTTCTAAAGGTTCGATATCATTATAAATTCCTTGAATCTGTATTAAATTTAATAAAAAGAAAATTAATATTTTGAAAATGTTTCAATATACCTTTGAATATTGTGTTACTTGTAGTTCTAATTTTGTTTTTTGTTGATCGAAAATAAAAATTGAATTCAGTTGTGATATATTATGGATATTAGGAATGAATTTTTCTACGTATTGACTGGATACAATCAAAAATACTTGTTCTTTATTATCTGTTAATTGTTTTATACATAAATCGATATTATCTAGTAGAAGTACATGATCAATGATGGATCGAAGTTTTATATACATTTCTTGAGCATACAATGAAGTATCTAACCATATTAGAAAATGTGTATCTAAATTTCGAGTTCGTGTAAAATTCATTGATTTCGATAATAAATCATTTCTGCATTGAAATGATGTGGCTGTATTCAATGATTGTCCTTCAATGTTAGTTTGATCCATAAGGTGATTGTTTATTTAAGATTTGTAATTTTACGAATAAACCTTTTTACTTCGTTTTAACGAAAATAAATGACTTCTAGAAGTGATAAGAGATGTTAAGGTAGATAAACTATTATTTGCTTATTTATCATTTTAAGTGTTCTACTAAAATATCTATGTCATTGCATGATTTTTTTGTTATTTGTTGAATTCAAATGCTTTTTAAAATTCTTATTCTATTCATTCGGTTAACAGTTGAATGTAGTTAAAATATAATTTAATAGATTATTAATACATATGAAACTTGCCTTATACTTTCTTGATGAATAATCATCTAATGAATGCGAGTCAAGAATCCATACAAAATAAGGGTGTGGGTGTGGGTGTGGGTGTGTGGGTGGTGTGGGTGTGTGGGTGATGTGGGTGTGTGGGGTGTGGGTGTTTCTGAGTAGAAGAATCACACCCACACCCACACCCACACCCACACCCACACCTACACTCACATTCACACCCACACCACATTCACATCCACACCCACACCCTTTAGAATTATTTCTTACCTTTCCACAAGCTACTACTGAATTGAGAACCGTCCGATAGTAGAGATCAATATCCGAGTTTGCCATAGACTTTTCACTCTGAAATGTAGAAAAAATAAGAATAGCAAACTATATTACTAGACATCTGCTCTAGCTGAAACATCTGAAAACGGATAAAGACAAAGTTCAGAAAAAAATTGTTACACGTAAAGAATGAGAAACATGTTTTATGAGTAGGCATGTGCCGAGCCCGAGTAGCTTGGGCTTCGAGCTTGAACTCGGTCGGGGTCAGTTCATATAGACTGCGTTGAATCTTGGTTTTGTCCTCTCAAAAAATCTCTTAAGCGTTGTTTTCTCTCATGCAATATAGTCAATAGATGTTTCATAATTTATTAAATTAAAAATTAAATCAATTTATTCTATTTCTTTATAATTTACCTTGAAACAGTCCCTATAACCTCTCAAGCCCCACCAGGTACTACTCTTCATAACTCTTCATGGCCTCTTTGGGGTACCATTCATAGATCCTTATTGGCTATTTGGGTTGCCCTTCATAAGTTTCCATATCCCATCCGGGAGTATCCTATATAGATTATAAGGATTTATGAAGGGTATTCTCAAATAGGTTATAATGATCTATAAAGGGTATCGTCAAATAGGTGATGAGAAGTTACGAACTGTACTTCTAAATAGGTTATCAAGAGTAGATTCTGATAGGGGTTGAGAAGTTATAGTGGCTATCTCAAGGAAGGAGCAGTTATCCTATTCCGCGATGTTGCACATTGCGGAATCAGTTTCATCGAATTCTGGGAATCCGAACATCATTCAACAAATTGAGCTTATTCGACAACAATCCAGTTCCCGGAATTGCTGACGTGTTTTACAGAGTAATCTATGAGAACACACCATAGCATGAGGATGAGGATAGAAAGCAATTCCATAATTGAATTCCGGGAATTCGGTCGAAGCAAAATCAGTTCCTAGAATTCGGGAATTGGATCGTTATCGAATAAGCCTAATTTGTTTAATGATGTTCGGATTCCTGGAATTGGATGGAACTGATTCCGCAATGTGCAACATCGCGGAATAGGATGTATTCTCGAGCTGCTCGGTTTGGGCTCGGGTTCGGTACATGCATATTTATGAGAACTTACTGTACGAAAACAATCATCATAACGGAGCGCTCGATTAAAATTTTAGATTCATGTGAAAGCCATTCTGTCTAGTAAAGCATCTTTTTAGCTTTTTAATTTATACAAACTCTTTTCGCACTCGTAGAATAACCTTTTTTTACTTTTCATCACGGTTCGGCGCATGGTGATTATGCCTTCTTCAGATTTCATTGATACAAAAAAAACAAAATACACTTCGCCATACACGCATATTACATTTTACTTATTTTTCTTCTTTCTTCTATTTTAGTTGCCATTCGATGGAAGATGAAAAATAATCATAAGAGAAAGCCAATCCTACTAACAATCACCGTCTCGTCGAACACCACTTCTCCATAATAACCAGATGAAGAAAGAAAAGAAAACGAACAAGAAAAAATAGGAAGGTCTGTGTTTGCCATCTAAAATGATTCATTTCATACATAAGTTCTGTAGAAAGCAACATTCGGATGAAATCAAACTATCAAAACTAAACAAATCTTAACAGAGGTGTTTGACAGATGGCATTCGAATTGAGTATTATGATATTATCTGTTGAATAAGATTCTTCTATATACATTACTTAGAACCACAAAAGAAGTGCCATTTATCAAGTGGAAACTATTTCATACTGATTACTGGGATTTACCAGCTTCTACGTCGCGGTTGCGCCACACCAGTCGAAAGGATTTTTCGAAGATATTGTACAAGTGCAGGAATTCGTGCAGACTTGTAGTGTTCAGTGATGTTACGCATTGAAACTCACGAATTAGTTATGACAGTGACAGCTATAGATTAATGTTCAGATCAGGTCTCAAGTAATTTTTTATCCTTTTCGGAAACACTGAAAGTTTTTATTTTTATATAAAACAACATGTTACGCTATTTTCTATCAAATTGTCTATTTTTCATTGGACTTACTCTTTATCTTTACGCTAAACTTGATAAGTTTTATGAGAAATGTGTTCCTGAACTTTTTTCATATATAGTGTTTGACTTTTCTTCAAATAGATTTTGAGGGCTGCGCAAATACAAAGCGAGTTTGTATGCTGGAAAGAATATAGCCCCCTCCCGAAAACCTAGAATCCGAACCTTGTATTTTCATTTTATACTATGAAATGAAGATACAGTTTTCGAATTCTAAGCTTTTTGACTATACTTGACAATATCTTTTTCACTTTACATGACAATACATGAGAATACAAATCATTTAATTCCAGATTTTTGGGATCATGTTCTTTGCAGAATACAAACTGGGTTTATATTTGAACAGCTCTGAATTTTAAATGTAAGGTTATGATCTCGTAACTTTGAGTAAAAAATGCTGCATTTCTAAAGTTGGCTCGAATTGTTTTTTACTTTTCTCGTATCAAACTGAATCATATATTGTTCTTTTATCTTGTCTTTATCTATTATCTGCATTTCTTGTCATACTTAAATATTAAAAGTTTTTTTTTACCGAGTTCTTCACATAATTCACATCATTTTTGCTTAAGCATCTTCATTCTTGACTCGTTCGTAAGCTTTAAATATAGAAGAACAAACATGATGTTTCTTAATAAGAAGAATGCTTACTAAATTTATTTCTTGATCGATAATCTAATTACTTACTTCTTATATAAGATCAGTGCGTAACTGAAATTGTCTTTCAACGTGTCTCAGAACAATGACTTCGATATTATTCACCTAAAGAAGTCAATCAAACATTATATTACACTCAGCAATGTAAGAATTCAACTACGAAGAACAATTCATTAATGCTAGAAGAAATATTGCAAGTTGTTGTTGTTCTATCCAACCGTTCATCTCTTTGTTTTGCTAAAACAGATACGTTTTTTGATTGACGACTTCGCTAATTTTGTCTTCTATGACGACAAATTTTAAGGCGGCACTTAATGGAATAGATCAGGGATTATTTCATGTTGATTTCATTCAAACTGGAGTTATAGCATGACATTTTCTATTGAATTGAGAAAAAATGCATTGTTTTGACTACAGTTTTATCGCGAAGATTCAATAGATTAGACATCATCCGACTCTATAGCGAGAAAAGGTTAATAAACCAATTATCTTGCTTTGTCTCCATCTGATCAGTTTTAGTTTTTTTAAAGAATGTATGTGCAAATAAAAGAATGGCGCAGTGAAAAATAATATTGTTTTTTTATTGAAGGACCCCCCAGATCATCCAACTGAAGAAAGAAAAAGAAAAAAACGAGTGTATTATAACATTTATTGACGTTTGATTCATTTTCTTCTGCAGCACAGTATTTGCTCTTCGTTTGGCTTCTGTTATTTCTCTTTCAACTAGAGACGCGAACACCATAGAAGCTATGTGTCCACGTCTCGCATTTATAAACAAGCTGTAAATTGTAGTTGCTCCTCATTTCGATGGACTAATGAGTATGATGAGGTACTCGCTTCTTTTTTTCGATCGATAGAGTTTGTTCTTTCTTGTGATTGATGTGTGAAGCTCTGTCTGCTCAATACAATATATTTTATAAGCAGCTCATAGGCAAATAACCGACGCAATTTCGCATTGTTCTGTTCAGTCGTCATGCGTGTTGATTTGTCCAATACCTATGCTTTCACTTTTTATATGAGGTTCTACCACTATTCATAAGAATCAGATCCTTCGTAACCTAATATTCTGAATATACATTTATACTGATGTATATTGAGCTCCTTATTTGAATGAGAAATCTATGTCTGAATGTATTGCTATATTTATCAAGCATCAGGATTGTTGCTTGCTCGATAACTACAGTTCAATATTGGCAAGACAGATTAGATATTGACTTTGCCATTTTTTCTTAATTTTGTCTCATATAACTTTCTGAATTTCATATGGATTTATCTCCATAATGTTGTTTCATTTCAAATACCTGACTCCTATTAGGAGAATATTGTTAGATATTCATTTGAAATTTCGATTTCGATTCAAGTGACACCTCCGAAACAAATACGAAAGCGCACTCTTCACAAAAGTTTCATATTGAAGTAAGTTTGGGTTTGTTGAAAGTATCTGTGATAACTGTATAATTGAGCCAGTATTATACGGTCTATATGTTACAATCTTCGTTTTTCTATAAAGTCTTATTCGACTTCTAGTAACATAAATAATCATATAAATACTAGTAAATCATATTGAGCCACTCCCATAATTCCATAAGCCCTGCGATCTGAGCATCTCTTCTGCATCCTATACGTAAGTGCTGCCAAGTACAAAACAACAGTCGCGACTCTTCAGCCCTACAGTGACTCTGTAGTATTGCGATTGAGACTTAATTTCATTCTAAGTTGACCAGTCAAAGTTTTAAAAAAACGTTTATTTAAAAATGGGATGTGGTACGATAGTACGGATATATACTATTAAATTATATCTAGATAATAAACCCAAGTGTGGATTCGGATGATGGCATAAACTAGATCTAGTAAGACCCAGTCATGCCGAGGTCTGCACCCACATCTAACCGTAACATTTCTGGTTTTTGCTATTCATACAGTTCGTTGAATCTCGAGTTTCGTTACTTTTGAGGTGTGGGCGATTATTTTTATAGTGCTCTTCGCTTTAGTAGTGATTTTTATATATTTTTAAAACTTTGGAATAGGTACAGTTCGCCAGACATGACTGCCACGATCAATATTATGACACTTCTGTATTTAAGCACACTCGCTGGTGCTCATCATAAAATGAAGACAAGTATTGAATACAGACAGCGAATTGAAGGGTGGGTGTGGGTCTGGGTGTAAGTATTATTGCTCAGAGAAAGAATACTCACATCGATACGCCCGCATCAACATCAGGTATTTGTAAAAGACGCGAACACCCACGAACACCCCCAGATCTGAATTTGATACTACCAGTAGATAGAGCTCGTCGATTTGATTCTACCAACACCCAAGAACACCCAAAACTGTTGAACATTAAAAGAAATTCCCAATACACACTGTTTTTTTCAATCTACGAACACCCACTAACATCCACAAACCCCCAAAACTCCCACACGAACACTCATATCTTTTGCCTGTGAGTAGATCTAGTCGAGTTATATACATGTTCAAAATATTAGACCCATTATAATTCTGATTAAGAGAAATAGTACATATGAAAAAGTAAAGTTTTTGATAACCTCGGTAATTCATAACTTTTGATGAAGATGAGATATGGGTCTGAAATTTTTACTGTAGATAGATCATTGAAAGATGTATATCCCCTGAAAATTTTAGTCAAATAAATTGTTCTGTTTGGTCAGAGTCGTTCTCTCAAAAATGCTTTTTGATACAATTTGTGGGGTTTTCAACATAGGCTATCTTCCAAAAAAGCCATCAGTTTGGGAGTTGATCTGTAAGAATTCGAACTACTCTATTTACTCTAAAATGCTATAAAAAAATAGCGTGGTATCTACTAGAATGACGCCAGACGACTTATTGAAAAATACCAAAAAATGAACTCTATTCTTATAGAAAATGTATCAAAGTCACCTTTGAAATTTCTCAAATACTTTCCTCCTATCCGATATATTCTACCTGGTAAAAATCCGCACCTAGCCTTCTATCGTCGTCCATGAAAATTTCCTTTCAAAATGAAAACAATTGTTTTTTTCAAAATTCTCGTACCCCCCCCCCTTCCAGGGTAAAAGGATTTCATCCAGAGAGGGCTGGAGAGGAAGTACAGGAATTTCGGAAAAACTATTTTCATTTTGAAAGGAAATCTTCATGGACGACGATAGAAGGCTAGGTGCGGACTTTTACCAGGTAGAATTTATCGGATAGGAGGAAACTATTTGAGAAATTTCAAAGGTGACTTTGATACATTTTCTATAAGAATAGAGTTCATTTTTTGGTATTTTTCAATAAGCCGCCTGGCATCATTCTAGTAGATACCACGCTAATTTTTTTATATCATTTTAGAGTAAATGGAGTACTTCGGATTCTTACAGATCAACTCCCAAACTGATAGTTCTTTGGGGAGCGCTCTAGGACAGTTGGGCGCGGACATTTGCTCGCTAGGACACTTGGTCGCTAGGACAGTTTCTCGCTAGGACACTTGGTCGCTAGGACAGTTGCTCGCGACGTATAGTTTAGAAAGAATGTGAGAGTCAAAAAAGAAATAAATACTATTCGTGATAATATAGGGTATCAAACAGAGAACAGTGTAGTGAAATTTAAACAATAATTTAGCAATAATCTAATAACAAATATTCATAATTTCGAATAATACAAGAGAACGAAAATACAAATTTTATAGAGACAATAAAGGTCCAACGCATGTTAATTGGTCATAAATATTTGAATGCGAATTCTTTTGATTTTGTTCTGATTCTTGTCTTTATTGTTCATAAGATTTGCGAGTTGCTTCACATCGTAGATTACCAATATGATTTTCATGTTCACCAAGTGTTTTAATAAATTCATAATTTAATTTTGTATGTAATCGGCCATGAGAGAAATATTTTCTGGAATATTCACATTTCCAAAGAATTTTGTCTCACTTTTCCGATCAGTTGTATATGAATAGCCATTGTATATTAATAAAGGTACAGTTTTCGATATTTTTGATAGAGTAACTGACATTATTACTGTTTGTGATGTCATTCTGTCAATTTTTGTGACTTATATATACACATATCGTTGAATACGACTTGTCATTACATTACAATGATGAAATTGAGAAATATTGCTGCAATTAAATCAATTAGTCGATGATGAAGATCATTCTCAAATTGAAAATTATTCAATTGGGTCATTTTATTTTGTTATTTAAGTCAAAGTTTTTCTAAAAGTATACACTGCGAGCAACTGTTCCAGTGAACAACTGTCCGCGCCCAACTGTCCGTTTTCCTTTGGGAGATAGCTTATGTTGAAAACCCCGCAAACTGTATCAAAAACGCCATTTTTGAGAGAACTCTGACTAAACAGAACAATTTATATGGCTAAAATTTTCAGGGGATATACATCTTTCAATGATCTATCTACAGTAAAAATTTCAGGCCCATATCTCATCTTCATCAAAAGTTATGAATCACCAAAGTTACTAAAAACTTTGCTTTTTCATATGTACTCTTTCTCTTAATCAGAATTATAGTGGGTCTAATATTTTGAACATGTATATAACTCGACTAGGTCTACTCATAGGCAAAAGATATGAGTGTTCGTGTGGAATTTTTGGGGGTTTGCGGATGTTCGTGGGTGTTCGTAGATTGAAAAAAGCAGTATGTATTAGGAATTTCTTTTAATGTTCAACAGTTTTGGGTGTTCTTGGGTGTTGGTAGAATCAACTCGACGAGCTCTATCTACTGGTAGTATCAAATTCAGATTTGGGGTTGTTCGTAGTTGTTCGCGTGTTTGACAAATACTCCATCAACATCCACACCCACACTCTTAGGTCCTCAGGCTCTACTATAGAAGATTATCCTCGGGTCCTCGAGCTACACTATTGACGGTACCATTTCACCCACAAGTACTACTATAAGCAGTATCATTGGGTCCTCTGCTCCTACTATTCAGGGGTACCATTCGGACCTGAAGTCCTACTGTTGGGGTGTGGGTGTGGGTGTGGGTTTTCGAGCCATCATAGTTAACGTCGTGCACATCCATTTCATCATACACCCACACCCACACCCTCTTATATTTGAATTTTTCTTAATAAACATAAATATCAGAAACCAAAAGAAAAAGAATGAGAAGAACAATAAGAGAAATGTCAGATGGCAATAGATAAAAATCAATTAGATTAATTATTTTTATCAGATATTGATAATATGAAATATAATGAGAGGTTAATTAATTATCATATATAAATATGAATTTGTTTTATATTATTATATTTCTTGTTGAAAAAAATACATACAATCAATATATTATCAATATAAATAATAATATTATTTATTCTAATCAATATAAAACATTTTATTTTGAAATTATCTAAAATTCTCTTTAAATCTATAATAAATAAATAAATAAATTATATTAAGAATAATTAACAATATATACAAATACAACAATAATACAATAAACAATAAAGACAATATTAACAAGTATATGATCTAGTAAATAAAAGATTTAAAAACTTCAAAAATAAAACATAATTATACTTGAAAGAATTATAAATTAAATTAATTATTAAGAAATTTTTTAATGATGATCGAGATAAAAAAAACAATGAGAAAATTATCAACAGCTAATAAATATGATCAGTCAAATATAAGAAAATAATATTATTATTCAATTGGGAACTTTAAATATTCATAATCAATATAGCAAAAATATAAATATTTCAACCTCTTTTCAATCACTTTTTCAAAATATATTATTAACTAATTTTCGTTTTTATTCTCATTAAAATAATAATCGAAAAATTCTTTTGTTTATTTAAAATTAACTATTATCTATATTAAACAAAAAAATCAAGTAAAGATTATTCTAATCAATTGAATCTTTACTAATATAATATATAAATTATAATAAGTATATT